AAAAAAAAAAAAAAAAGAGTAAAAGAGGTATGAATTTGAACCCATGTTCCTCTATCTACAGTGAGCAACTTAATTCTCAGCCATGCTTTCCTCATCTGTAAAATGAGTATTTTAGAACAGTGTAGGCTGGGTGCAGTGGCTCACACTTATAATCCCAGCACTTTGGGAGGTTGAGGCAGACAGATCACTTGAGGCCAAGAGTTCAAGGACAGCCTGGCCAACATAGTGAAACCTTGTGTCTACTAAAAATAAAAAAAATTAGTTGGGTGTGGTGGCACATGCCTGTAGTCCGAGCTACTCAGGAGGCTGAAGGGAGAAAATCGCTTGAACCTAGGAGGTGAAGGTTGCAGTAAGCCGAGATTGTGCCACCTCCAAACTGGGCTACAGAACAAAACCCTATCTTAAAAAACAAACAAACAAAACCACTGTAGATAGAATGAAATCAAGTTTCCTTGGTGACAAAGTAGACTGCCTAATAACTTTCTCATGACTTCTCAGAGAGTACATCCAACCTTCAGATTCTGTAATTTCAAGAACTTCCAAAAGCACATCAGATGGAACGGACAATCAGTCAAAAAAGGGTTTAGGCCAGGCACAGCGGCCCATGCCTATAATCCCAGCACTTTGGGAGGCCAAACTGGGTGGATCACATGAGGTCAGGAGTTCAAGACCAGCTTTGCCACGAGGTGAAACCCCATCTCTACTAAAAATACGAGAAAAGAAACAAAACAAAACAAACAAAAAAAACCAAACCAAAACAAAACAAAACATTAGCCAGGTGTGGTGGTGTGTGCCTGTAATCCCAGCTAATCGGGAGGTTGAGGCATGAGAATCACTTGAACCTGGGAGGCAGAGTTTGCAGTGAGCCGAGATCACGTCATTGTACTTCAGCCTGGGCAACAAGAGCAAAACTCCATCTCAAAAAAAAAGCGGGGGCGGGTTCAGTGGCCAAGAAATTAGAGAAGGACTAGATTAAACAAAGGTGAACAGTTTTCTTTAATAAAAGAACCTGCACTATGACAATGTGTAGCATAAAGGGGTTGGATTTAAAACATGCAATCTAACATGATTAAAAAGAGTTTAAACAAAATTTTTTTTAATTTTTCTTATTTCTCCAAGGAAAAAGGACATTTTGTCCCCCCACCTAACTGGGATTTTATAGGACCAGTGTTAAGAAAGTACAACCTGGAAACTCTTGGTATATAAGGTATATTATGGCAGGGCAAGCTGCATAAGGAAAGAAACCAATAGAGAAAACTCAACATTGGAGTCATTTATCTATTACCTCTTCTTCTTCCTGTGCTTCTACTGCTGGTCCATTATGTGCCTCCTGGAAAAGCAGTTTTTTCATCTTTCGATATTGCAGATTGTCCAGCTCTCTTACTGCATCCTTTGTCCTCTGAATGAGATCTATTAACACGGTTTCAGGGCGCTCCCGAAGAACAAACATGTGCTAAATAGGGTAGAAGGTAAAAGGCTGATTTTCTTTTTTTCTTCAATTAATGCCAATGTACTCCTTCTCAGACCCTACAGATAATATCCTATGATAGATAATGCATATAATCTCTAGCTAAATGATTCTGTTAAATTTCTTCTATTTATAAAATTATAACTTACATACATGTACTCTGTGCATAACTACTCCTGTACATTTTATAAAAATGGAACATAATATTTTTTCTTTATTTTGAACATATTTTTGTTGGCCAACTAAAAATGCAGAGTTAAAATAATTGAATGGCCGGGCGTGGTGGCTCAAGCCTGTAATCCCAGCACTTTGGGAGGCTGAGGCGGGTCGATCACGAGGTCAAGAGATCAAGACCACCCTGGTCAACATGGTGAAACCCCATCTCTACTAAAAATACAAAACATTAGCTGGGCATGGTGGTGCGTGCCTGTAATCCCAGCTACTCAGGAGGCTGAGGCAGGAGAATTGCCTGAACCCAGGAGGCGGAGGTTGCGGTGAGCCGAGATCGCGCCATTGCACTCCAGCCTGGGTAACGAGAGTGAAACTCCGTCTCAAAAAAATAATAATAATAATAATTGAAGGGTTGGTGGGGCACAGTGGCTCACGCCTGTAATCCCAGCACTTTGGGAAGCTGAGGCGGGTGGATAACGAGGTCAAGAAGAGTTCAAGACTAGCCTGACCAACGTGGTTAAACCCCATCTCTACTAAAAATATAAAAATTAGCTGGGCATGGTGGTGCGTGCCTGTAATCCCAGCTACTTGGGAGGCTGAGGCAGGAGAATTACTTGAACTGGGACCTGCGAAGCAGAGGTTACAGTGAGCCGAGACCACGCCACTGCACGCACTCCAGCCTGGGCTATATCTCAAAAAAAAAAAAAAATAATAATAATAAAATAAATTGAAGGGTCTAAACACTAAGAATTAAGCCCAATCAAAGCTTTCAAGGTCTACATATTCTAAGAACTGAGGATTTCATACAAAAAACATGTTCAGTTCTAAGTCATATTAGGTTTCAACAGGAATGTATTTAGTGATGGTGAATTATGAAAGACGAACTTAGGTATTACGGGTTCCTTTATATGCTGCATGAACCATATTCTTCATAAAATACTAACAGGGATTAAAAGCCATTAAATTATTACTGCTTTTTATAACCTAGCATTTAATATAATTTAACCTTATCAAATACAAAAAGTAGAAAAAACAATTCGACCATTATGATGATCACTATTACACTGTAACATATTTCTTTTCAGAAATTTTCTATGTATAAAATTTGTTTTGTAGATACACAGTTAGCATGTATATTCCAGAAAGACATATTCTGCCATCCCTTGAGTTCCATGAGATATCTTTGAATCAGACAACTTTTACCTTCTTTGTTAGCTCAAAATTTATTTCTTCTTTATGCAAAGAGTTGTTAACTATGCATCACAGCCCACTGTAACCTTAAACTTCTGGAATCAAGCAATCCTCCCACCTCAAGCCTCTCAAGCAGCTATGACTACAGGTAGGCACCACCATTTCCAGCTAATATTTCTTCTTTTGGTGGGGGTGGAGGAGACAGGGTCTTGCTATGTTGCCCAGGGTGGTCTTGAACTCCTGGCCTCAATTGACCCTCCCAGGTTGGCCTCCCAAAGCACTGGGATTACAGGCATGAACCACTGCGCCCAGCCTCCATACAATATTTTATTCCATTTTCACAGTCATAACTATTATTATTTTAGCTGGGCGCAGTGGCTCATACCTGTAATCACAGCACTTGGGAGACCAAGGCAGGCAGATCACTTGAGGTCAGGAGTTCAAGACTGACCTGGCCAACATAGTGAAACCCTAAAAATATAAAAAATTAGCAGGGCGTGGAGGTGTAGGCCTGTAATCTCAGCTACTCAGAAGGCCGAGGCATGAGAATCACTTGAACCCAGGAGGTGGAGGTTGCAGTGAGCTGAGATCATGTAACTCCACTCCAGCCTGGGTGACAGAGCAAGACTCTGTCTCCAAAACAAAAAATTAATAATTATTATTTAAAACTTATAAACATAATGCCTGTAGAATATTTCATCAAATGTTTGATGAAATATTATTTAAACATTATTTAAACCAAATTATTTAAACATTACTCTAATTTGGGGCAGCTATTTCCAATTTTTAATTACATGATAAATAGCTTCATACATTAAAAATTTTTTATTAATTTTTTTTCTTTTTTTTCCTTTATGATGGACTGCAACAGAAATGTAATTAGGCCAAAAGATAAGAAGCTCATTACAAATATTTCCTATCATTTCAAATAGGGCTGTGATAATACATACTAGGGGCCAGGCAAATGAATACTATTAATATATGCAGACTTAGGATCTAATCACCAAATACCAGTGGGCTGGGTTACTACTACGTGAGTTAGAAAGGCTTCTTTTCCTTATATTTGGTGAACGTAAGAAGCCAGTCACATTCTTCCTTTTTCCTTAGTTTGGTGCATACCACTATTTACAATATTGTCTTCCTCTTTCTTTCCTTTTTTTTTTTTTTGGAGACAGAATCTCATTCTATCGCCCAGGCTGGAGTGCAGTGGCGCTATCTTGGCTCACTGCAACCTCCGCTTCCAAGGGTTCGAGCGATTTTCGTGCCTCAGCCTCCTGAGTAGTTGGGACTACAGGTGTACACCACCACACTCGGCTAATTGTTGTATTTTTAGTACAGATAGGGTTTCGTCATGTTGTCTAGGCTGATCTCAAACTGCTGACTTCAAGTGATCCACCCATCTCAGCCTCCCAAAGAGTTGGGGTTATAGGCATGGGCCACCGTGCCTGATCTACTATTTACAATATTGTCTTATCCAAAACATAAAATGTTATATTTCTAAGTTTCACTGTTTGTTAGATTTTGCTTTTTTTTTTTTTTTGAGACAAGTCTTACTCTGTCACCCAGGCTGGAGTGCAGTGGCACGATCTTGGCTTACTGCAACCTCTGCCTCCTAAGGAGCTGGGACTACAAGCACGTACCACCATGTCTGGCTAATTTTTTTTTTTTTTTTTTTTTTTTTTTTTTAAGTAGAGACAGGGTTTCACCATGTTGGCCAGGCTGGTCTTGAACTCCTGACCTTGTGACCCGCCCACATCAGCCTCCCAAAATGCTGGGATTACAGGCGTGAGCCACTGTGGCTGGCTGCTTATTTTTTTTTTAACCAACATAATTCCTAGCTATATTAACGCTTCTGCTAGCTACTATGAGTGCCTATTTATTCAGGCTTTCATTTCTTAAATGACGAGTAAGCTTACTGCCTGGGATTTCTCAACCGTTACTGAAATTTTGCATGGCTTTTCTATACACTGTGGGTGCAAATAATACTACTGAATATATATGTGATTCTTTCAAATTAATTTGTGGCTTTAACTGATGTGTCAGTGAAATAAACTGAACTTGTTTGAAATTCTAAGACATTAGTGTAAATATAGTTTACTTAATCTTTTTCTTTTTTTCTTTCTTTTTTTTTTTTTTTTTGAGATGGAGTCTCACTCTGTCACCCAGGCTGGAGTGCAGTGGCACGACCTCGGCTCACTGCAAACTCTGCCTCCAGTTCAAGCGATTCTTCTTCCTTAGCCTCCTCAGTAGCTGAGATTACAGGTGCATGCCACTATGCCAAGCTAATTTTTGTATTTTTAGTAGAGATGGGGTTTCACCATCTTGGCCAGGTTGGTCTCGGTCTCCAACTCCTAACCTTGTGATTCACCTGTACCTCAGCCTCCCAAAGTGCTGAGATAACAGGTGTGAGCCACCTTGCCAAGCCAGTTTACTTAAATCTTACAGTAAAAGATTAAAAAGATTCCTTGGGGTTCCAAAAAGATAAAGCCAAATCCTACTTATCATTGTCTAACGTAAATATTTTAAGAACTATAATAAAGTCAGTAATATTACTATTGCTATTAATAAGACAACCCTCAAATGAAATAATTTTTAAGACCGGAAAGCATACACAAATCATGTATTTAAATTAGTTAACCAAGTCTGCTGAAAACTGAATAGAACGCACATATTTTAAAAATATTTCATTGCCAAGTTAGAAAAATATATATCCAAATAAGGAAACAGTAGTATTATTTCCAAGCTCCTCTTCTCCCACATGTAATGTAAATACATTCATGTTATATATCTTTCTTTCATATTATATTAATATTGGACAGATCAATATATTAAGTGTGGCAGATCTAAAAATTAAGCAAAAGCCTGGGCATGGTGACTCACACCTATAATCCCAGCATTTTGGGAGGCCTAAGGTGGGCAGATCACAAGGTTAGGAGTTTGAGACCAGCCTGGCCAATATGGTGAAACCCCGTCTCTACTAAAAATACAAAAATTAGCCGGGCATGGTGGCAGGCACCTGTAGTCTCAACTATTCGGGAGGCTAAGGCAGGAGAATCGCTTGAACCAGGGAATCGGAGGTTGCAGTGAGCTGAGATTGCACCACTGCACTCCAGCCTGGGCGACAAAGCGAGACTCTGTCTCAAAACAAAACAAAACAAAACAAATCAAGCAAAAAGTTCAACTATGTTTTATCAACTTTGAAATAAGACACTATTCCACATGAATTCAAATTTATAACTCATGAACATATTGTTGCACATATAAGTATTTGGCTATTTGAATACTTGGCTATATATTTAGACACGGTAACAGCAGCTAATCAATTTGAAAAAAAAAATTTAAAAATTTAGTATCTATAAAAAAAGAAAAAAAAATTTAGTACCTAAGAAAAGTTCCCAGAAACAACAGTATAAAAAAACAAGTATTTCAGTAAAAACTAGTAGAGTTACTTAATCCTAATTCAGAATCATATAATAAAATACATTCTTTACAATCATTTCTTAGGGATAAGAACAAATTTAAAGTATAATAGAACTGGTGGCTCATGCCTGTAATCCCAGCACTGAGAGGCTGAGGCAGGAGGATCATGTGAGCCCAGGAGTTCGATACCAGCTTTGGCAATGTGGCAAAACCCTGTTTCTACCACAAACACAAAAATTAGCCAGGTAGAGTGGTGAGTGTCTGTAGCCCCAGCTACTTGGGAGGCCGAGGTGGGAGGATCGCTTGAGCCTGGTGGTCAAGGCTGCAGGAGTCGTGATTGTGCCGCTGCACTCCAGCCTGGGTGACATAGTGAGACCCTGTCTTAAAATAAAATAAACTATAATAGAACTGACCTTTAAAAGTTCCTCTGATGTAGGACGATCTTGAGGGATTTTCTGGAGGCAAGAATCTACAAAGTTTCGAAAATAATCAGACCTATTGTAAAGGAAAGTATCAAGTGAACATATTGCTATTTCCTTTAAAAATACATCCACAAATCATGGCAAGTGCCGACTGGTGGGAGGGGGAATGGAAAGGGAATTCTTAAAAAAAAGCAGAGACTATATAGTTTCATATAAGTCTATGAAAATCAATGGAAAGCAACCAATGAATGGTTACCATTTTCTAAAGATAAACTCACACAGATAACTTTAAAATCCTGCTCCTATATATTTACATATCACAACACATACCACATTGAGGCAGAATGAGGGAAGCCTATCTACTTTTTATTTTTGCATTCAAATCCAAGATAACATTCCTTTCCATTTCCCTTTTCTTTTCCTTTTTGCTAAGCCTTTCTTATAATAAGCTCTTTCTTATTATAAGACCTCTTATAATAAGCTTTCTTGGCCTGTGGCTCACGCCTGTAATCCTAGCACTTTGAGAGGCCAAGGTGGGTGGGTCACCTGAGGTCAGGAGTTCAAGACCAGCCTGGCCATCATGGTGAAACCCCATCTTTAAAAAAAAAAAAAAAAAGCTGTCTTATAATAAGCTCTTTCTTATTTGCCCCTTGAATCGTCTTCTATATAGCATGTTTCAGAATATCACTCTATCTGCTCTGGAGAGAGCATTTTTACACCTGAGTATTTGGTGCCCCTGAGCAAATGGATAACACTTCCATTAAACCTAGAAAACCAATTAAGATATTTCTAAGACCCGGGTGCGGTGGCTCAAGCCTGTAATCCCAGCACTTTGGGAGGCTGAGGCGGGTGGTTCACGAGGTCAAGAGATTGAGACCATCCTGGTCAACATGGTGAAACCCCGTCTCTACTAAAAATACAAAACATTAGCTGGGCATGGTGGCGCGTGCCTGTAATCCCAGCTACTCGGGAGGTTGAGGCATGAGAATTGCTTGAACCTGGGAGGTGGAGTTTGCGGTGAGCCGAGATCACGCCATTGCACTCCAGCCTGGGTAACATGAGTGAAACTCCGTCTCGAAAAAAAAATAAATATTTTTAAGAGCCAGATGCGGTGGTTCACACCTGTAATGCCAGAACTTTGGGAGGCTGAGGTGGGTGGATTACCGGAGGTCAGGAGTTGGAGATCAGCCTGACCAACATGGAGAAAACCCCTTCTCTACTAAAAATACAAAATTAGCCAGGTGTCGTTGAGGGCTCCTGTAATCCCAGCTACTTGGGAGGCTGAGGTAGGAAAATCACTTGAACTAGGGAGGCAGAGGTTGTAGTGAGCCAAGATTGCACCACTGCACATGAGCAAAACTCAGTCTCCAAAAAAAAAAAGGTATTTTTAAAAACATTAGAAGTCTGTAACACATTATTATATAGTGTTATTGACAAGAGTTCAATGAGTAAGGCAGTAAATAATTACTCCGTCAATGTTTGTCTCTAATATTCAAATAAGATTTTAAGTTCCTTGTAGGCAAAAATTCTTTTATAAATCCCCAAGTCTCAAACACAGTCTGTGTTCAATCTGTTTATTACTTGTACGTAACAGATATGGTTTCAATGTTTTTGTTTTCTCCAAAACCAATACTGAAACTTAATCTCCAATGCAACAGTGTTGGGAGGTGGGGCCTAATGGGAATTGTTCAGGTCATGAATGGGTTAATGCTGCTATAAAAAGGACTTGCAGGAGAGGGTTCTCTCTCTCTCCTGTTCTTTGCCATGTGAGGACACAATGCTTCTCCCCTCCAAAGGATGCAGGGTTAAAGGCACCATCTTGGAAGCAGGAGGACCAGGGCCTAATCTGCCAGTGCCTTCATCCCGGACTTCCCAGCCTCCATAAAGTGAGAAATAAATATCTGTTCTTTACAAATTACCTGGCCTCTGATATTCTGTTATAGCAGTGCAAAATGTACTAAAGCATACCATAACACTAAACTCAGTGTCAAAAGATTCGTTCTGTATAATTCTAAACACAAAGTAGAGTTATAGAGAAAACAATCTTTTGGCACAGAATTTTAGCATTACATATTTGTTTAGTAGAGTTATATGGCATATTCTTTTCTTTTTTTTTGAGGCGGAGTTTAGCTCTTGTTACCCAGGCTGGAGTGCAATGGTGCGAACTCTGCTCACCGCAACCTCCACCTCCTGGGTTCAAGCAATTCTCCTGCCTCAGCCTCCTAAGTAGCTAGGACTACAGGCATGCACCACCATGCCCAGCTAATTTTTGTATTTTTAGTAGAGACGGGGTTTCACCATGTTGACCAGGATGGTCTCAATCTCTTGACCTTGTGATCCACCCGCCTCAGCCTCCCAAAGTGCTGGGATTATAGGCATGAGCCACTGCGCCCAGCCATATGGCACATTCTTTTTTTTTTTGAAACGGAGTTTCGCTCTTGTTACCCAGGCTGGAGTGCAATGGCACGATCTCGGCTCACTGCCACCTCCGCCTCCTGGGTTCAGGCAATTCTCCTGCCCCAGCCTCCTGAGTAGCTGGGATTACAGGCACATGCCACCATGCTCAGCCGATTTTTTGTATTTGTAGTAGAGACGGGGTTTCACCGTGTTGACCAGGATGGTCTCGTTCTCTTGACCTCGTGATCCACCTGCCTCGGCCTCCCAAAGTGCTGGGATTACAGGCGTGAGCCACCGCGCATATGGCACATTCTTAAGTGGCAAAGACTCATATCAATATGCCATAATTATGTAATCTTTAAATAATTTAGTACCCCTAATTTATATATCTGTGAATTACAAAGTATTTATTAAATATGCTCGACATTCCCCTAGAATTTATCAAATGCTAGATAAGGAAAAGTGAAATATAAATTCTTATGAAAATGAATATTTTCTGCATTCATGTGACATCATTCATCCTTTTCTGAACTGTTATACATATGCTATGAAATGGAGACATGACAAAGGATATATATATAATATTTAAAAGGATAAAATAGCCTATTTTAATATATTATAAGGTGATACATTTTACCTAATTGAAATTAAATCATTTTGATAACAGATTACAAAAAAGCATTTCATTTATTCAATATTGAGCAATATATCTTAACAATACTCACCATTCATTAGACTGTAGTGTAGGGGATTCATTTTGGGCTATGTGATATAAGGCACTCATTGCATTCATATTAAATAAAGGAGGCTTCCTTTCCGCTGTAAAAGAAACATTCCTGTTAAAATATGTGCCGGGGTACTTAAGTACTGGTCACAACTTTTTTTAAAAAATGATTTTATTTTGAAACAGTCTTAAACTTACCCAAAAAACTGCAAGTAGAGTTCAAAGAGCTTTTTTTCTTTTTCTTTTTTTTTCTGAGACAGGGTCTTACTCTGTCACCCAGGCTGCAGTGCAGTGGCACAATCTCAGCTCACTGCAGCTTTGACCTCCTGTGCTCAAGCAATCCTCCCACCTCAGACTCCCAAGTAGCTGGGACCACAGGTGTGCACCACCATGCCCAATTAATTTTTGTATTTTCTGTAGAGGTGGGGTTTCACCAAGTTGCCCAAGATAGTCTTGAACTCTTGAGCTCAAGCAATCCTCCCAACTTGGTCTCCCAAAGTGCTGAGATTATAGGCATCAGTCACCACCCCCACCCCGCCTCAAAAAACTTTTTCAGGTGAATCAATTGAAAATAAATTGCTAACCTGATGTCTCACCATCCTTAATATATACTTGAGTGTGTATTTCCTATAAAGAAGAACGTTTTCCTAAGGAACCACAGTACATCCATTAGATCAGGCCATTTAATAGTGATACATGACTATCATCTAATCCCCAAACTACGTTCAACTTTCATTCATGTGTCCTAGTAATATCCTGAGTAGCAATAGTGAGCTTTGAGCACTGGCAATCTTCAAGGAATGTGTTCGCTGTATCCAAGTGGTCAAACTTATTGACATAAAATTGTTCATATTTCCCCATTACTCTTTTAATGTCTGTAAAATCTGTAGTGATTATTATCTCTTACTCCTGATATTGGAAATTTGTCTCTTCTCTCTTTTTTTTTTTGTGATTAGTTTGGCTAGAGGTTTAACAATTTTTTTGATCTAAGATTCCCAGTTTTTGGTTTCATTGATTTTCTCTATTGTTTCTCAGTTTTCTATTCAACTGATTTCTGCTTTGATCTTTATTATCCTCTACCTTCTGCTTATTTTGTGTTGACTTTACTCTTTGTTTAGTTTATATATATATATATATATATATATATATATATATATTTTTTTTTTTTTTTTTTTTTTTTTTTTTTTTTTTTATTTTTTTTTTTATTGTACTTTAGATTCTGGGGTACATGTGCAGATCATGCAGGATTGTTGCATAGGTACATACATGGAAATGTGGTTTGCTGCCTCCATCCCCCCGTCACCTGTATCTGGCATTTCTCCCCATGGTATCCCTCCTCAACCTCCCTACCCACTGCTGTCCCTCCCCTAATCCCCCCAACAGACCCCAGTGTGTGATGCTCCCCTCCCTGTGTCCATGTGTTCTCATTGTTCAACACTCGACCATGAGTGAGAACATGTGGTGTTTGAATTTCTGTTCTTGTGTCATTTTCCTGAGAATGATGGTTTCCAGATTCATCCATGTCCCTAAAAAGGACACAAACTCATCGTTTTTTATGGCTGCATAGTATTCCAGTGTATATGTGCCACATTTTCCTTGTCTAGTCTATCATCGATGGGCATTTGGGTTGGTTCCAGGTCTTTGCTATTGTAACCAGTGCCATAATGAACATATGTGTGCATGTGTCTTTATAACAGAACAATTTATAATCCTTTGGATATGTACCCAGTAATGGGATTGCTGGGTCAAACGGGAATTTCTATTTTTAGGTTCTTGAGGAATCGCCACACTATCTTCCACAATGGTTGAACTAATTTATACTCCCACCAACAGTGTAAAAATGTTCCTATTTCTTCACATCCTCTCTAGCATCTGTTGTCTCCAGATTTTTTAATGATCTCCATTCTAACTGATATGAGATGGTATCTCAATATGGTTTTGATTTGCATCTCCCTAATGACCAGTGATGATAAGCATTTTTTCATGTTTGTTGGCTTCATATATGTCTTCTTTTGAGAAGTGTTCATGTCCTTTGCCCACTTTTGAATGGGTTTTATTTCCTGTAAATCTGTTTTCACTCTTTGTAGATTCTGGATATTAGCTCTTTGTCAGAGAGGTAAATTGCAAATTTTTTTTTTCCCTATTCTGTTGGTTGCCGGTTCACTCCTAATGATTGTTTCTTTTGCTGTACAGAAGCTCTGGAGTTTAATTAGATCCCATTTATCTATTTTGGCTTTTGTTGCTGTTGCTTTTGGTGTTTTAGTCATGAAGTCCTTGCCTATGCCTACGTCCTGAATGGTTTTGCCTAGGTTTTCTTTTAGGGTTTTTATGGTGTTAGGTCTTATGTTTAAGTCTTTAATCCATCTGGAGTTAATTTTAGTGTAAGGTGTCAGGAAAGGGTTCAGTTTCTGTTTTCTGCACATGGCTACTCAGTTATCCCAACACCATTTATTAAACAGGGAATCCTTTCCCCGTTGCTTGTTTTTGTCAGGTTTGTCAAAGATCAGATGGTTGTAGATGTGTGGCGTTGCCTCTGAGGCCTCTGTTCTGTTCCATTGGTCTAAATCTCCATTTTGGTACCAGTACCATGCTGTTTTGATTACTGTAGCCTTGTAGTACAGTTTGAAGTCAGGTAGCATGATGCCTCCAGCCATGTTATTTTTGCTTAGGATTGTCTGGCTATGTGGGCTCTCTCTTGGTTCCACATGAAGTTTAAGGTGGTTTTTTCCAGTTCTGTGAAGAGGGTCATAGGTAGCTTGATGGGGATAGCATTGAATCGATAAATTACTTTGGGCAGTATGGCCATTTTTAGTTTCTTAAGGTAAAAATTGAAGTCACGACTTTGACAAATTGAAGTACAGTCGCCCTTCTGAATCTGTGGGTTCTGCATCCACAGACTGAAACAACCAATAGAAATATTTCAACCACAGACTGAAAATGCTTGGGGAAAAAATAATAAAAATAACAATTTGGGACGGGTGCGGTGGCTCAAGCCTGTAATCCCAGCACTTTGGGAGGCTGAGGCGGGTGGATCACGAGGTCAAGAGATCGAGACCATCCGGGTCAACATGGTGAAACCCCGTCTCTACTAAATATACAAAAAATTAGCTGAGCATGGTGGCGCGTGCTTGTAATCCCAGCTACTCAGGAGGCTGAGGCAGGAGAATTGCCTGAACCCAGGAGGCGGAGGTTGCGGTGAGCCGAGATCGCACCATTGTACTCCAGCCTGGGTAACAAGAGCGAAACTCTGTCTCATAAAAAAGAAAAACTATTTCTGTAATCCCAGGCTGTGAAATGAATAGGGAAAACACCCCGGAGAATTAAGGGCAAGTTACCAAGACACNCTGAGGCAGGAGAATTGCCTGAACCCAGGAGGCGGAGGTTGCGGTGAGCCGAGATCGCGCCATTGCACTCCAGCCTGGGTAACAAGAGCGAAACTCCGTCTCAAAAAAATAAATAAATAAAAATAACAATATAACAATAAAAATAAAAATTTTTAAGACAACTACTTACATGGCATTTATATTGTATTAGGTATGATAAGTAATCCAGATATTATTTAAAGTATTTGGGAGGATATGTACAGGTTATATGCAGAAACTACACCATTTTATATGAGCCTTAAGCATCTGCACTTTTTGTAATCTGTGGGGGTTCTGGAACCAGTTCTCTCAAGATACTGAGACATACGGGGCTCTAGAATGTCCCTCAGTTTGAGTTTTTCTGACATTTCCTATTATTAGAGTTAGGCTAAACACTTTTGGCAGCAATATATCACAGAGAGGTAATGCTATAATTTGCTTACTGTATCCTATGAGGTGTCACATGACTTTGAGAAGTTCTGTTACTGATGGCATTCACTTTGATCACTTAAGGCCCATGTCTGCCAGTCTTCTTCATGATAAAGTTTTTCTTTTCTCCTTTGTAATTATTAAGTATTTTGTAAGACAGTATTCTGAATCTACATCAATATTCTGCTTCTCATAAAACTTTCAATTTTATTATTTTATTTATTTATTGTATAGAGTCATAGATTTTGATTTTATTTAATAAGTTATAATTTATCATTTATTTTGATGTTCAAATTGTCTCATATTTGAGCAGTAGAAACCTTTTTAAGCTGGCTTGTGTCTTTTGGACACACCCCATTATTCCTTGGTTACTTTCTTGCTTTCTGGTACACTCAGATGTCCTAGCCTCATTTTGTACTTTCCCTAGCCCAGACCCTGGATCAATGATTTCTCCAAAGGGCTGTTGTGCTAGGTGTGCTTACTGCTACTTGGGTGTCACTGCTCTCAGACATACTCAATGAACAGAGTTGGGAATATATACAGGTATATAATTTATACACCTGTGTGTACAAATACATGATATAAATATTCTTATTTAAAAACAATAAATTCACTACAGTATCTCAAATTCGAATCCAACACCATAGTGTTTATTCTAGCTTTCTTCTTGCATATTTGTAAAGTCCTTCTCTGACAATGAGAAACCCTGCTCTCATTATCCTTTATATATATATGTATGTTTGTGTGTATATAATACACACAAACATACATACATACTTATTTATTTATTTATTTATTCTGAGACAGAGTCTTGCTCTGTTGCCCAGGCTGGAGTGCAGTGGCACAATCTCGGCTCACTGCAACCTGCACCTCCCAGGTTCAAGCAATTCTCCTGCCTCAGCCTCCTGAGCTGGGACTACAGGCATTCGCCACCATGCCTGGCCAATTTTTTTTTAGTAGAGACAGTGTTTCACCATGTTGACCAGGCTGGTCTCGAACTCCTGACCTCAGGTGATCTGCCCGTCTCAGCCTCCCAAAGTGCTGGGATTATAGCATGAGCCACCACACCCGGCCCTCAATATATTTTCCTATTTGATAAATTCCTCCTATGTAACCAACCAACATCCTATCTTTGTAACCATCTTCTCTCCTCTTAAGAAGATGCCCTCCTTTCCCTATTCAAATTCTGAATCCCCATTCCATTTCACCCTACAGTGTGAACAACCTCTTGGTCACTAAGTCTTTTAAAAGATATGCCATCAATATATCAAACCAGAACATATCTTTTTAATTTTGTCATTCAGGATTAAATTAGAAATCTCTCAATTTTATCAAAGAACATTAAACTTAGC